CAAGCCAAAAACGAAGGATAGGCTCGGGCATCAAGATATTCTCTAGCTGAACGGGTAAGTCTAAATAAATTTCGCCATTCAAGAACTCTGGCAGCTGAAAGGGTACAATGATTCGCCCATTTAGAATACTGGTCCACACGTTTACTTTAAAACAATACTGTCATCTATCATGTCTCATCAAATGTGCATTTTCTACATGCCACTCGTGTAAGTTGTGTATTTCATGTAACCATATTTTTTAAATGTCCACTCATCAGTTCATAAAATTTTCTCTAAATATCGCGGTTCTTCCCGGTTTTCTGTAACATTGTTGACAAAACTCATCTATTGGAAGATAATCCCGGTGTTGTAGAGATTGTACTCACACTGTACGTGGTACTGGTGAAGCTCGTTCTTTCGCAAGATTCGGTGGGCTGTACCTTGGACATTTCCGTGCTTGCTTCTATTTGACGTACTGAGGTACTCGTGTCTTCTTCGACTGCCTCGTAGTACGACGTCCTCGTGAGGGAAGGACATTCTTCCTTGACCATGTGCTTTATTTGGGAATCGCCCTTTGAGATTAAACGGTGCACATTCACAAAAACTCGGTGATCGGTATGACGAGCAGCATTTGGATACCTCTCACGATAAAGCCTAGCTGCAGCACTAGCATTGCATCTACATTCCCCATAAATGAGCTGCATGCTGGCGTATTTCTGTACGGTACCCAGACATGGGGCACTACACATGCATTAATAAAAGTGGCGTTACTCTGTGTTGCTGTCACTACGTAGAATGACACTGTTCGCCACGCCGTCTAAAAAAAAAGATGAAGTTTGTAGTAATGGGAACCAGAATATCATCACAGGCTGTGATTATTCCAATTTTTTAGCTTAGCTTATTGGGTTTCAAAAAGCAATAATGGGCAAGTACGGCCCTGCACCATCCTCTTCTACAACACCGTTCTACGTCAAAACGTATGATGTACTAAGACTATGTGAGTCAGTATACAAATGTTGCAAAAGTTCAAGCGTCTGTACAACAAAACATGTGACACAGTAGTACTTGAAATTCATTACAAATGAATAGTGAGCATTTTTCAATTTCTCTTTTACGTTTTCGAGCTGTTTTGCCGCAAATTAGCTTTGGTGTTGCAAACGTAGTGGATTCTGTAAACAAAAATCCAAACATTCATGAACACCTGTATGTGAAAGGAAAGTCGCATAAATAATGTATCGATACGGATTATCGGGGTTGCAGATTAGAATACTACGACATCAGATTTTTATCTTTTTTTCAACCGTGTTGCATAATTGAGTTCACTTTGTATTGGGACTAATGTTTGATACGGGTGCCCAATATATGTTTCCGCTGTATCACTGACTACCATTGGTGGTAGAAGCCTCTGTTGGGAGATCGGCAAAGATACAGTTTAGGAGCTCTGGTAGTTGTCTTGGTGAAGTCCCATTTATCAGAATCTCCATACCGGTACCCGTCCGTGGTCCGGCAGAAACAATGGCCATTGATTTATGGGGGACGTTTTAATTCAGGACATAATGTCCATTTGATTTGTGACGTCGCCACCGTAGACATTATCGACGAACGCATAATCAAGCCCCAGACGGACTGTTCGTTTGCCATCGTTCGTTGGAATTCGCTAAAAGAAACGAATCATAAATAGAAAAACAAGCTGATCGATGAGATTGCGGATCTTTTGGGGAGTACAGATAGGGGGGAGCGGTCTATAAAGATTCGGTAAATAACCGTCTTTCAAATCCTACCTATAGTCCTTGAATTTTTCATTTGATATATAGTCTAATGATAAAAATAAAAGGGTACACCAATTTTTCTCGGAAAACTTCTTCAACTTTTAAAGAATGTTGATGTTGACACGCAAATTGAAGACACAATTACGTTCCAAAGTACTAAACCTACATTTTGACTAGGTTTTCGGTCATAGCTTTTTTGATTTCAATCGCATCTTTTCATATGTGGTCTCATTCTGTATGTATCTTAATATCTAGAAATCCATGTTTTAAGTATCCCACCCTCTAAGCAACTTGTGCCAATAAAACCAAACAGTACAATCATTTTGGGAAAATTGCTAATATGATTAGACTAATATTAATATGTTGATCCGTAAGTTTTTTTGTAAATAATGTGAGATGTTTATTTGCTTTCAGGCTTTAACCATCGGAGGAATCTGGAGCTTCTAGAAGTGTGATCTATCTTGTTTACGGAAATGTATCATTGTAACTGGTAAAATTTACTGTTTGCACCTTCTTCAGTACGTTTAGGTCTATCTGGCCGATTTCACGTCTGCAGTTCGTAAATATTGTTTGCAATCAAGTTTTCTGCAGTTGCTTCTATTAATAACTGCAATATATTGATTTTGACACCAGTATCACGAACTTGTTTCCGCTTATCAATAAGATCCTGACACCCACGATAACAGGGAAAAAAGGTGTTAGCTTATTGTATACACTAGAGTAGCCACGCTGTGCATCCTAAATGGTTATTACTTTCTATGCCAAAACTGTCGAGGAATCGTGAAACATTTCGAAAATTGGATATTATGTTTTTTGAATGCTATATGACATGTACATCACGAAGAAACATTGTCACTTATTTCCATCGATCTGTCTGGTCTGTCGGTCTCTCCGCTAATTTTACAACTGCCTATCTTGAGAAGTACTGTTCGAATTTTGATAAAATTTTCACACTACCATGCTAAGGATGAGCCTTTGAAAATCGGTCTAGTAGCAGCGGAGCTAGGAGTAAAAACACGAATAAAATCGCTCAAACTTCGTTTTTTGACGTTTCAGAAGCTCCTAATCATTTTTGGAATATTTTTTGTAGGTGTTGAAACTTGATGGTTGGGCGTTTTAGGGGGTAGGGGGTTGTAAATGGAATGTATTTAGTCAAAGACTTTCTATCACTAAGAAGCTTGTGATCCCGGAAATAAATGCAATCGTTGGCGTTGCGTCCACGGCCGACGCTGCATCATCGTGAAGGCCACTGCATGTGGGTAACAAACACCATCTGATCTGGGGTGGTGTCGTCGCTGACATACCGGCCACTGGAAAAATATTTATATATTCTGCGGTGCTTTTGTATATGATGATTTCACTGTTTTTATATCTACACATATATTTTTCTAGATATTATGATCCTTAAATATACCAGCCATTTCATCTAACATTTAGTGTGTGTTACTCTGTCTATATACCTATGACGCATTGATATACAACAGACACGGACTGACAAACTGACATAAATGAGAAACACGGACTTGTGTGATGCAGATATCTTTAAGCAACAGAAAAATTGGGAACCGAAGATCGAATGCTATCGTATTTGATTCGGAGGCGGCGGGCATGAAATCGCTCCTGCTCATTTTCAGACATTGTTTGAAGGGGATGAAAATTGTAGGTGGGAAGCAGTATGCGGTAAATGGTTTTAAATTGTTACATGATTGGTGTCAGTGTAAGACGTTCTATTATTTAGATTCTGCTGATGACAGTGATACTATGCACCTGATAGACACAATAAGGGCCGATTTCACAATCTAACAAACCATTATTTTCTACCAAGAGGGTACAAGTACCAACAGACCGTCAAACATACCCAATCAGCCTCAAGATCTCTCCGTCAGATCTTTGGCAGCAAATAGCATAAAGTATTCAAAACAAAACACTGTAAAATATGAAGTGATAGCTTGTCATTGAAATGTTATCAGTTTATTAAATATTTTGAAATCATATAAAATTGAGCTAAAATTAAAAAAAATGCTTGATGTCTGAGTAAAATCCATTTTTTCAGTTTAGCTGAAGGTTTATCCATGTTTATTGCAACTTTTGTAATCCATATGTGATTATAATAACTTAACATCACCTACCGTGTGTTTATAGTTTATCCTACATTTGAATACTCTCACTTCCAAACCCTTACATGAAAAAGCCTTATCCTTCAAAATTTTGTTAGGTGTTGCGTTTGAACGCATTCATACACTTCTTTCCAGTTGCTCAACAACATTTTGACATCACCGGTCCAAAACTGTTCAAGATTTTCAACATTCATACATACAATTGCAGTTGTTTGTTTTGATTTCAGCTTAGAATCAGTTGCAACATCGGTGATGATACATGGTACACTCAACAAAACCGCTTATTTAATAATAATAATAAAAATAATAATAATAATAATAATAATGTTTATTGGAGCATATACATAGCATGGATACAAAACACATAATACCCCAAAAGCGGGGGGTTGGCAATGCCATTTTTCACCTCAGCCTACTAAACTACAGATGTGAAATTTATTAACATATTATGGGTAACAATGTTGAATATATATAATGTTATACATATGATATAAAAACCATAACAGGATCAATTTATTTTGAAGAGCCTGCATTTAAGCGGTTGTGGCATCAATGAACTGCAGTTTTAATAGCATTTTTTTAAAATCGCTTTTAAAATTATTGATAGAAAATGCTTCGAAAAATTTGGAATAATCATTAAGAATAGATGGTGCCGTGTAAAGGAAACATTTCTTAAATTTAGATGTTGTGTGGGCCGGTATGTTGTAACAATGATCATTGCGTAGTAATAATTGTCGAAGTGATGACCGTTTCTCTAATTCACTAAACAAGTACCTAGGGGATCTATATTTTAGAATTTTATAAAGCAGGGTGGCATAAAAAAGCAATGAGCGATATGGGAATTTTAAAACATCTTCTCTGATATAATACCTAGTAATGTGTTCTTATCTGTGTATATCGCTGTGACAAAACCTCATACAACAATTTTAAAGAATTAGGATTTTCTGCTTCATTTCCTTTGTCAGAAAATTATAATAAATTCCATAATCTAGATGTGTTAGAATTAGTGAATGAATAAGTCTTGCTTTCATATCTCTTGGCAATAAATTCTTGTATCTCCAGAGAGACTTGTATTTATAACATATTCTAAGTTTACTTAGGACATGGCCCTCAAAGCATAAATTTGTATCTAACATTATTCCTAAATTTTTTATGTCATCCACAATTTCAATAATAGTACCATTTAAAACTATATCTGTATTAATTGCTTGTTTACACTTAGAAACTATCAACCTAGAACCAATGCAACAGACTTTAGTTTTGGAGGGGTTAAGTTTTAAGCAGTAATTTATTGAATAATATTCTACATATAATCCTTAAAGTCATATTGAGGTCTATTATCAGGGAATTTATGTTATCTGGTCTACATGCTTTATAAATTTGTACATCATCCGCATAGAAATGTATAGTCCAATCAGATGTTATACAATCTATCAAATCTGAAGTGTAGAAACTAAACAGTATGGGATCTAAAACACTTCCTTGTGGAACACCTGATTTTACATCTCGTAAATTAGATATTTTACCGGAAATTTTTACACAGTGAGATCTATCAGTCAAATAGTTGATAAACCATTGCAAGGCGTTGCCATATAAACCATAGTGTTGTAATTTGTTGCATAGAACACTGTGATTGATCATATCAAATGCCTTGCTATAGCCTAACATCACCAAGACAGTAACCATTTCATCATCCATAGATTTTACCATATCGCTTGTAATTTTCATAACTACTATCGACGTGTTATGTAGCTTCCTCAAACCGGACTGTGTGTCAGGTAGCATTTTATTCACTTCCATATGTTCTCGCAGCTCGTGATCAACAATTTTTTCTAATAATTTTGACATAGCAGGTGAAACACTAATTGGTCTCAAGTCATTTAAGTCCACAGAATCGGCGACTTTTGGAAGCGGTGTTATTACAGCCTTTTTCCATAACATCGGCACTTCTCCCGTATCCAGTGACTGGTTAATGATTTCGGTAATTTGTTGTATATAAAAAGAAAATACGTTTTTCAGCATCCTGGTGGCAATACCATCGCATCCAGCTGCGTTTGACCTTACTTGTATCAATTTTTCTTCAATTTTGTCTGTTGTTACACGACAGAATGAAGATTTAGATACAGTTGCTTGTTTATGTCCTGAAAATGTATTAAAAAACAAATCGTTGGTCTGGACAGTCGGTACAGAGTTGACAAAGTATTTATTGATAACTTCCATATCCTCGATTCCTGGCGATATGTGTTTGTTGGATTTTCGATGTATGTTCCATCTGGAAAAATCGTTTCCAAAGCTGTGTTTTTTTTTCTGTTTTTATTTAACTGATACTTTATATAAGCTGTCCTCTCATTTCTTAAAGCCATGCTGAAATAATTTCTAAGCTCGTTGTAAAATAAACGATGTGCTTCGGATCTGGTTCTTTTAAACTGATTGTATGCTTTTTGCTTAAGACGTCTGATACATTTAAATGTATAGGTTACATAATGCCTGTAGTTCTTACGTGAAGTGACTCTTTTTACTGGTGCGTGTATGTCATACAGCAAGTTAATATTTTCAGTAATGTAATTAACTTTGTCATTAGGGAGATATTGCAAACATCTGCCTTATTAGTGCAGACCTTATTTTGACATCTACGCATGCGCACATACAATTCTGTATCTATGAGGAATTAATAGGGATAAGGCACGTCCTTATTTAAGCTATAATAGGGGGAGCTTATTTAGGCGTTCTTATGTCACGACGATTCACGATCTAAGCAAATCGGGTGTCGTCGCAAGCCTATTTAACCTATAAATTTGTACTCTCAAAATTCAACGATTGCTGAAGCGTTTTGGTAACTATGAATATGGATAAAAAGAGAATAAGGTTCACGTATGACGACGAAATGATTTTGCTGCGTGAATTTATTGCACAAAACCCTATCCGTTCTCCTGAGAAGTGGGACTCAATCTTACAGAACTTGCGAGAGCTTACGGGAAAAGAATTTATTTTGAGAACAATAAAAAAGCATCTGAACCATCTTCTGGAGCTGTTCCTCAAAAAGGAGGTTAACAGCAAAGTCAAGTAAGTATAAGATAGCACACTGTACCTACATGTATTTTAATAACAAGAGAATGCTTAATGTAAGACTTGGTGAAACAACATTTGTGTTTGACAGGTCTGGCATAGAAGAAGTCTATAATGAAAGAGAACATATGCTCCAAGAAGCCAGCGAGTTAATGAAAGAGACCTGCTCAACTACACCAGCAAAAAAGAAAAAAGTGGAAAACAAAGCGAAAGATATGATTGAAAAGACACGCAATGAAAGAGAGGCTATGGCACTGCTGGCCTTTTCTGATGTGGATGACACTTTAATCGACCATGATTACGGTAAAATAACTATTCTAAACATTTTTTATACATATTACTATATTATCACAGTTTTAGGTGTTTGTGTTACAGTCGACGTTGACACAGAAAATAATAATAAGTCTGTACAAGATGTTGGAACTGCAAAACAGATATCTGTACAAGATGTTGGAACTGCAAAACAGATATCTGTACAAGATGTTGGAACTGCAAAACAGATATCTGTACAAGATGTTGGAACTGCAAAACAGATATCTGTACAAGATGTTGGAACTGCAAAACAGATATCAGGTAAAACAATGATTAGAATTACTGCTTGAATCTTCAGTAATAGAAACACTAAAACAGATCCACAGGTTATGGAGTATGACCAGTAAATAAAACCAGTGCTCGATATAAAATGTGTAGGTACTTATGTTATATACTTTGATAAAAGCCAGTGCAATGACTAACCTGTCAGTGAACTTCTTTTGTTTAGCACTGCGGTTTTATTTACAGGCCAGACTAACCAAATAGTGGATCCAGATGACTACAGCGTATATAGCATTGCCATGGCATCCCATTCAGAGGGCTACTACTAGATTAAGTAGTTTCTAGTATGTTATACATTACCTATAAAACAGAAAGCTCAAAACTACCTCTTACATTTCATGTTCAAGATTAAATACATTTGTTTATTGTTGCTGTTACTTACTTTTCGATCATTACAGCCCCCCGTACCAAAAGGATGAACAAAAGTAAAACATTGAGAAAAAATGGCCTTGATTACCTACGAGAAAAAGCGGAAATATCACGAGAAATAAGATCTGCAGAACTCAAGTTAGAAGAACAAAAAATGGATAATGAAAAAGAAAAAATTGCAAATGACAAAGCAAGACTTGCCTTGGAGTCTAAAAGGCTTGAGGCAGAAATTCAAGAAAAAAAACATAGGATAGAGTTAGAACAAAAGAAATCTGAGCAAGATGTCGCTGAAAGAAAAAACTTGAGTGACCTCATCAAAACACAACAAAAGCTTATTGAAGCATTACTGACAAAACTTGATAATAGATAATTTGCCATTAAAAAAATAATATACTGGCCTTATATTGAAATAATAATGTTGATGCTAAGGATGGTGAGCACAAACCAAGTTTGTTGCCGAAAATATATGAAATTGATTCTGCAACTGGTTCCATGTATGAACATAGTAAAACTGTGTAACTTCAGGATCAAACATATTTCATCCACAACTCCTGAAGAAGTTGATTTCATATATTTTCAGCAACATACTAATTTAGTTTTGAAATCTCTTATTGGGTGCTTGCTGCCCTTATGGTTGTAAAATAAATAAACATACATTCCAAACAAGCTTTATTGGTCTTACAAGTCTATAAAAAATTACAAATTATCATCAAGCGTTACAAGTTAGAAACAACCCAAAATTTAGATGTAAAAGATGGCTAGCGCCATCTAAATTTGCGCTAGAGATAGTTTCTTTGCAAGTTTCGTCAATGACGACGCAGGCAAAGCAGAAACCCCTTACGATTTCTGGTCGCTGACTCAGATGAATTGTACAGAGTACAGATACCCCGGTACCAACCAACAGTAGCCGGCCACCAGAGTCGTAACGCAAGGCGTTCACAGGACAAACTAACAATAGCATTTTCTGCAGAACATGCAATAATATAGTCTGATATACTCGTTTGCTTTCCATTGCAAAGAAACTAGTTCTAGCGAAATTTAGATGGCGCGAGCCATCTTTTACATTTACCGTCTTCCCGCTATTTGATAGACCACATTCGCTTGTTTACTTTCCATTTGTCCGCCTTCACGGCTGGACCTGATACAGACCTATACCATACTGATGAGGGCTAAAGAGCCCGAAACAGCGCTGTCTGCGGTTGGTCTTGGCTGCGGCGATGGAAAGCAAACGAGTATTTCAAACCCAAAATGTCCTCTATTTATCAGTGGCCTATGTAGGTCTCAAGTGAAGGTGGATTTGTATTGAAATACATAGCAGTCTGACTACTATACAGGCATGTATGGCAGTTAGTAAGTAGTACAGCCACCTTGTATAAAGCATCAACGTCTTGAAGTAGCATTTTTTGGTTTTTTGAAAAATCTACAAAGGCAAATTCTGATATGACTTTCTGAAAACCCCATTCTACTGCTATCCTTAGAACTTTCATAGCAGAATTGAAACTCTGCTGATGGGCAGGTAAATCTTCCATTCTGCCATGAAATGGGGTAAATAGCACATCACTCAGCCCATATCCTTGATCACCAAATAAAACAAATCGTCTTGTGTCAAAACATGTCTTTTGCACTAATTCTTCAGAGATACCTGACTCCCTAAATATTCTGGCATCATGCCTTCTTCCCGGATATGCGCCTTTCAAACTAACAATAATTCCATCAGGACAAATTATTGATTGGAATTTTATGCAGTGATACCTTTTGTGTCCTGAATAATACTCTTCTTGATTTTCAGAGGGTCGACAAATTTTCCTTGCTGTACCATCGATGAAACCCCAACAATTATTCATAGGTGCTCCTTTATTATGAATAGCCTACAAAAAGCACATTTCAGCATTTTATGAACCAACCATCACTTCAACTATATTACACAATACAATACCTGTGCATAATACTCCAACTTCTCCCTATTAAACCACTGCAATGAATTCAAATTGTTGAGAAGTACAGCATGCTCCTCCATAATCACACTTATCAATTTATTTATGATTTGTGACAAAGACTGAGTTGACAAGTGGAACATAGGGACCATATCACACAATCTGTTTGGATATGCCAGCCGTCTTAGTAGAATGCACAATGCTGTTAAACCTGAAAGAAGATAAATGGAACTTATACTGTGGTTTTCATGTTGATAGAATTCCAGCCTCTGGCAAGTGTTGTTTGAGTCAGAGGATGGAGTTCGATTGAAATGATGAACATATAGCAATAAATATTTAAACAAAATCATACCATCCACTTTATTACGTGTGATAGTGACAATTTCTGAAGGTATTCGTAAAACAGCCATCAGCCTATGAAGGTCAGACCTCTCAAATCGAAAATTTAGTCTTATTACTTCATCTGGCAAGTTTTCCAAGTTGAATTGTGCTGTATGAGTAATGCCTCTATCAATAAATATATTATGGAGGATGATATGTTCTATTTCCTCCTCATCTGCTCCTGCCAATATAACTGCTTCCAATTCAGCTTCCATTTTACAATCTCACTTCTCACACCTTTGGTAGAATTTCAACTACGAACCACCTATATTATGCAAGCAAAAACTGGAAGGAAAAGTGAGGTTAAGATAAACACCATCAAAGCGAACTGTCAAAATACGTTACATGTGCAATATCTCTAATTCCACTGTACTTATTTAGGTTCACCTAAATAATGCATACCCTTATTTAGGTCCATATGCAATATCTCTCTATTAATATTCTGAAGTTCACTCATATAGCTCCAGTTGATGGTGGCAGCATCTATAGCAAATTCATCATAGTTGAAATGAGAAAAATCTCGACAGTAAAATACAGCAGGAGTATACTTTGGAGTGTTAAGGTTCAGCTCACAAAAGCCCAATCGGTGATCGGTTATATCTGTTGGCAAACCTAAAGTACCACATTTACATATATCCAACGTACTTGCTATTTGTTCGTATAAAAATGATATCTATCATTGTGGCTGTGTTTGCGGTAAGTCTTGTAGATTCTTTTATGACCTGGACTAAATTAAATAATGTCATAATATGCAAAATCTGTTTGCATGGTCCCAATGATTTATCTGTGAGATCGATGTTTATGTCTCCTAGCAATATGAGTTCATCATGGGCACTGTACACAGAACTAAGGGTTTCTTCTAATGCAGAGAGTATACCTGGAGCACAAGATGGCGGTCTGTAAATAACACCTACTGCAACACGTTTGTGTTCAATTTTCACTGATAGCCACAGATACTCAATACCATTTGGTGGAATACTGCTAAGATCTAAGATTTTATACCTTAGACCACATTGGACATAAAAGCACACTCCACCTCCAATTCCTTCTCTATCCTTTCTGATTAACTGATAATTAGGCAGAGAAATTAAGTTAGATGGGAAGTTGGGCAAAAGCCAAGTCTCAGTCACGGCTGTAATATGAAAATCCTGCTCTCACTATCTGAAAATATATCAAAGCTTGGAACTAGTGACCTGATGTTAACGTGTGATACATTTAGGGTGTTGCAACTGTTTGATATGCCTCTACAGTCTGGAACATTGGTTTCCTTAGATGTAGCTTCAAAGTTGGTTCTTGATTGCTATATAGCATAATCTATGCTATTTCTAGCAGCCTCTAGTTTCTTCCTCATAACTGAGCAGTTAACCTTATCAAAAGCAGAACGGTTCTCGTCCAATTTTAGTTTAAATTTCTGGGTAATTGCAAGACAATTAGGGCAAGAGACATTAGAATTTCCACTTTCATCAGCTCTATGCCTTTTATCTCCACATTTCAAACAGAACGAGTCATTTGTACATTGGCTTGCTATGTGGCCGTAACCGCTACAGTTGTAGTACCTTAGTAAGTTAATATGTTCGTATACTGGACATATCGTCAAATTAACTCAAAGCATACCATTTTCCAAGATGTTATGAAATGAAACTATTTTCTTGTCTTATTATATCAATTAACTCTTCACTGTCCAGTGCTTGTTCAATTCCAACAACTCTGAATTTAGGTTTCTGGTGATGACTTACTATGTTAACGTTGAGGATTATTGCAGATTTAACCTGTACACAGCAGTGTAATATGTATTTCTGCACAAAAAATCTTGGACCGATAACTTTTTATACAGAAATTTGTTCTTCAAAAATTCCTTTTTCCACAAATATCTGGACGTCAGATAACACAACAAGTGACCACAAAACATAGACTACAGTAACATTTGAGAAGAAGAATAGACCACACAAGATCGACCATCGATTACAGGATAGAATAGATGCGCTGCGTTGCCATATTTCGCCATCTGAGTATATTATATATAGTACAGTCGCATCGTGGTTGACTGATTTTGAAGTATATTAACATGTGAATCATACATGTTAGAGCTCAAAAATTTTATTATAATGAAAAAAAAATTAAAAAGATATTAAAATTCTGTTTTATATATACATATTTCATTTATTATGTTGTTTTATTAAATATATATATATTTATATATAATTAAAAGGATTTAGTATACTGCTCCAAACAGGTAGTTGAAATGAATTCATCTATTTGCAATAGCTATAGTTCTGAGATGCTGTTTGACTGTTACAGCATTACCTTTACCATATTATTATTTTTAACCAGGCATTTATTGTGTGAATAATGATAAGTATAAATTGAAAGTTTTTACACTAAATATATTATCATATACAAATTTTAAGATTTTGAAAATACAATGCTTAAAAAATCTGAAATTAACACATCTAATAACATAAATGTAGGTACGTAGTGTAAGGTACACATTATTTCCGCTTCACACCATGTTGAACAAATCTTTTCTGCAGGATGATTCCTTCATGTTACTTGACTAGCTTAGTATTTTTTCATATACTCATAGCTATATCTTCACTACAGTTTATTGTTCCAATATCTACAGAAGGCTGTGTTGTTAGTTCGATAGGATAGTCAACATTTAAGATGACAATTCTGAAGCGAGAATAACATTATGATCACATTCCGCGACTCAAAAACGGATGGTGAGTATTAAAAACTGGAACGCATGTTGGAAATAATTTCACACCCTTCGGAATAAAAACCGAGTCACAATTTGAGCAGATGCGGACTTTTTTCTGCTGTTTCAAGATGAACGATGTTAATCGATATGTGCCCGGCACGTAACTTAAAAAGTGACATATATATATATATATATGAGCAGTAGTCATTGCCATTGCCAACGACCAGTTGAGCAAAAAATACAATTAATTGTTAATTGGGAAATTGGCAAACTTTTAGGCTTTAGTCTCTTTTGACGATAAAATCAAGCTTTCGGCGATTCTCTATGGAGCCTTCATCAGGATCTAAAAACACAATTGTGATGCTAGCAACCAATACAGGAACGACTTAAATTGTCAAATAACTTACTCGTCGCTGGGGCTGCAGCCAAACGAACGTGAAGATGAGAGCACTTGTTACAATTATAAAACCAATCGGACGGAAACATTGGGTTTATTGATAACGACAGATACCATCGTTATGTGTTAAAACTATCAATACACCCGAACATATTAAAAATTAATTAACGAGAAGAAATTTTGGGGACAATTACAATCGGAATGCAGTTTCCAACCTCCTACTTCCGCTACACGTGTTTATAAATATATATATATATATATATATATATATATATATATATATATATATATATATATAAAGAGAATATGATCATACGGAGAAAGGTATATAACAACAAGTAGGAAAATAATGGGCAAAATCCGCAAAAAGGAGGAAAGTGGATTCGAGCAGAAAATAGGATAGGTAACCCGAGCGATACGTATTTCTGCTGGTTGGCTTCATCAGGCCCGAAATGAATGCACATATGAAACTACAAAAGTAGATACACATGCCACACATCCGGATACGGGTGTAACCTGAGGAAACGAAGTTGGAGGGGAAAAAAAATGACACACGAAGTCCACAACAAGAGCCAACCTACATATTGTAGTATAAAATGGCTATACAACCTCGAATTTTCAAGGAGACGTCTAACCACCACCACGCGGCCGGTTATAGCCACTTGCTGTGGTACTTCAAGCCCAAAGGATCTACAAAGAGAATATGATCATGCGGAGAAAGGTATATAACAACAAGTAGGAAAATAATGGGCAAAATCCGCAAAAAGGAGGAAAGTGGATTCGAGCAGAAAATAGGTTTACGGGTTACCTATCCTATTTTCTGCTCGAATCCACTTTCCTCCTTTTTGCGGATTTTGCCCATTATTTTCCTACTTGTTTATATATATATATATATATATATATATATATATATATAACTTGAGACGTGGTCATTGTCGTCTAGACCAGTTAGGTGAAAAATTAAAGCTTCCGCCTTTTGTTGGGTACTTCGACAAAATTTAAGCAAAGAGGACTCTTTATACTTTTTTTAATTCTCTCTAGCTTTCAATGGACTTTGCCATCATCATCAGGAGCTGCAATTACAATGATAACAGTAGCAACAAAGGTGTAAAATGAATTTAAATTGACTCAACTTACAGTAGTATGTGAGGATGTTGCTAATTGTTGTTTACGTATAGGATGAGGGAAACGTCCAGTAACATGGTGAGAGCTGGATAGGTTGTACAATGGTCAAAATTATATAAAATCTGACAAGAACAAGTTAAAAACAGATTAAAAATTATTTAAAAAACATTAGAGCATTACATCGTGAAGCCACTTGATGATTGCACAAATTAGTGGTCATGGAATAGTGAGTGACATGAAACCCTTTGACAGAAGGCCGAAGGATGTCAATGTCAGTGTTGAAAGATGGAACGAATTGTGGGCGTGTGCCAAACGTTGCCAAATCACTTCAGATGATGAGATTTTCAAAATTTTATGTAAGAATTTGTTAAACCGACCAGAGGCAGTTGAATAAACTATATTTTTATTAATGGGAATTTAAATTAACAATTATTAATAAATCGTGAGGAGAGAATTATTATATTTTGAGTGGAATGAAATTTACTGGTGGAATCGGCCAAAACACAGATTCTAATTATGGTTGTGAAGAGTTGAAATTTGGGGAGATATGTAAGTTCTCCAATTTTTCGCAGTTTAGCAAATATGAGTAAATGACACTCAGTTGTTTAACATCTGTCTTTTTGTTGATACAGTTGTTATTCATGAAGATGTGGGACATTTCCAGGAATAAACGTTTGGAAAGGTGTTTTTCTTTATCAAGAACTTTGATACTTGTGTAATTCATAGAATGCCCTGTTGTGTTAACATGAGATGCTAGAGCGCATCTTTCAGGATGAAGCCTAGCATCACTTTTGTGTGATGTAATCCTTCCTTTAAGAGATCTGGAGATCTGACCTATGTATATTTGGTTGCAGTTGTTGCAATTGATGGAGTAGACTGTGTTGGTTAGGCCAAGCAGCGGGACTTTGTCTTTCATTTTTGAAAAAATGCAGTTTATAGTGAGGACGGATTTGCAAGCAATTCGAAAGTTCAAAGGACTGCACAATCTGATC